GGGGGCTGGACCAGCAGGGCTGGTGGGAAGGGGGTGCTGGCAGGGTTGGGGATCATGGCAGTGGCAGTATGTGAGGCTGCGGCAGTGGGATAAATCAAAGGGGGGCCTCGAGAGGGAGGAAGGCTTGGTGAGGTTGTTACTCCCTGGCTTGTTTTGTGTCCATATTCATGAGTTAGACCTTCCTGGTCAGTTAGTTCTTCTAGGCAAAGACACTTACTGGGGATGGCTTGTGATTAATGCTTTTCTGTGCTGGGATTTGACAGAGCTGACACAATCATGAAAATGAGCTTAGAACAAAAGAGAAACATGGCAGCCCCCCGCTCCATTTGTTGTACCAACGCTAAACCCTTGTAAGAAAGATATGCAAAAGCTGCTAAGTATACATTCTGTCATATAAAACTGCTGTTGGACAAGCTTCACAGTAACTGTAAAATGATTAATTGCACTTACCTTTGAGAGTTTTGCATACCTCTCTCTAGTTAAGTAATGTTTCCTCATGACCCCTGGAGTATGGTTATTCTTTCTGAATTTGGCCAAAACTGCTGTTAAAAAAGAAAATATCTTGGGACCTTGAAGTCCCCAGCTGCTCTGGTTTTAGTGGCTGTTTGCACAATGTTGGAGCTGGCGTGCCTGGGTCTGGTGGCAGATGGTGACAATGCACGGAGGTGAGTGGCAGTGTCTGTATTATAGTCTTGCTGTTTTACAGGTGATCAGGCCTAGAGGAATATCACTGTGCTAGCTGAGGAATAAGCCTCTCAAGTTTTCATAGATATGCATGGCATTAATTCCTTTCCCTTAATCCCTTGCTTACAGAGTTAATTTCATTGCTTAAGTAGCTTCTGGTCTCTTGAATCATGTCAAAACACAAATAAGAACGTGCTTTCAACAACAAAAGAGCAACTCGGTCAATTCTGTCACTGAAAGGGAAAAGCATATGTGGAAATGAGAAATGGTGAAATGAGATTAGAAGGTTGACAGTATTTCCTGAAATTTTGGTATGTGAATTGTGTTGGAGGTCTCTGCAGTGTTTGGGACAAACATTAATTTGTGCAAACTACTTTGCTAATCCCTAGTCTAGACACTCACATTTCCAATGCCTATTCATCTTTATTTCAGCTTTAATCTAGCAAATTTTTTTGGTCTATCACAGAGCATCAGTCAGAAGGAGCTGGGCTCTTCTGCTCCTATAACTCCCACTTGTTCCAGCCTCAAGCATGGGGATACAGGGTGTGTAGCCACATGGAGAATTTACAGGTCTGTCCTGTTGATGTGGTAAAAGTCTTAACTCTGCACTCAGCTGTCCATACCCTGCTTTTAGTATACTCAAAGCTCATATGTGCTTATATTGACTTCTTCCTGAAGTGAGAGGTGTTAATGTGAAGGGAGAGGAAACAGGGGGTGGATGTCAGTCTGCCCTCCTCAGAGGGTTTGGCAGGGGACTCACAGCTTTTTCGTAGAGAACCTGTGCTGCTCCTGTCAAGTATGTTTTCAATTAACAATGAAAAATGTCTTGTAGTCAAACATCTATATTCTAGGAAAACAATCTGATAAAGCAAGATAGTTTAAAGATAAACTTTATATTCGCTTTGTCAAGCTTGTTTGTACCTGTCTGGGCTCCACCTAGGATGGTGTTTGCTCTCTTCTCTTTATTGGGCTTTGCTGTTGTGTGCTTTGTAATGAGCTGTAATATCTAGGTCTTTTCTGAGGAGTTGCTACCTTGGTGTTTATTCCATGTTTTGTATTAGTGCAGACCTGATGAACTGTAGTGGTCTATGGGGCCTTACTGAATTGTATTTATTTATTGTTTTCAGACTTTTTTTTTTTCCCATTTGTTGAGATAATTTTGAATTCTAATCCCATTCCCCAGTATGTCTGACACTTTTGCTGGATTTCCTATGGGTTTGGTAAAGGTGTCTCAATATCCAAGGTGCTTATGAAAATACTGAATAGCGCTCGGTCCGGAAGAAACCACTAAGACCTGCTCGCACCATAGCCCGTCTGCTCTGACTGTGAACAGCTGGTAATTCTGCTCTGATGGTGGCTTTCCAACCACTTTCACCCATTCTGCATTAGTTTCATCTGAACTATTATTTCTCTAGCTTGCTAACGACAATGCCTTACCCAGCCCTATCAAAAACCTTACCAAAGTCATGATGTATCTATCTACTGCTTTTCCACACCCTCAAGACTGATTAGTCCATAACAGGGGCAAATTAGGTTGGTCTGACATGATGTGGTCTTGAGGAATCTCAGTTGGCTCCTATTTATTACCTTATTATCTTCTTGGTGGTCACAGATGGGTTGTTTGCTTACTTGTTGATTACCTGTTGATTAGGTGTCTGTTTGGATGCTGAAGCTAGGCCCTCTCAGCTATCATCCCCCAAATCCTCCCTATTCCCTGTTTGAAGAGAGCACGAAGAGATACTGGCTGAGGTAAAAATGAGAAATGTTCTTAACTGAAAATTAATTCCCAGTGCTCTTTTGCCACTTTTTAAATGTGATGTATAAGTAGTGTGAGAACCGTAGTATCTAGAGGAATTGCCCCTCATAGTTCAAGTTTAAATGTGCCATGGCTCTGAGGGCACTAATGGGTTTTCCTGTCCCCTCCCCAGGGCTACCCCAATCCTGCCCATGGCCCAGGACCCCAGGGGCCATCAGCCCCTGCCCCGGTGCTGCCCCAGCAGGGCTGGTCTCCAGCTCCCCACAGGTGGTCCTTGCCCAGCCATGGGCGCTGCCAAGGTGGCCCCATGGCCTGGCCCGTCCCCATGGAGGTGCCTGATGCCCGGGGCTGGGGCTGCCCAGGTGCCCCCTCGCTGTCCCACTCCTGGCTAGAGGGTGGGATGGGCCCTGGCTGCCAGGCCCTGCCCCTGTGGGGAGCCCCCAGCCCTTGCAGTGCCCTGACAAAATGGCTCCTGAAGACTTGTTGCTGCTTCCAGTTTTTTGCACAGTGGTCGTGGCAATATAAACCAAAACCAGCTCTTGTTTTTCCAGGGCTTGGGCAGACAGAGATAAGTGGTAAAGGGCAAGCGAGTGACTGCAAAATATTTAAAGGCGTATGATAAGCTGAGCTTTTGCTACAAATCAGCATTGTTTTCTAGGGCGAGAGGAAAAAGAGAAGTGGAAGCTAAGTTTGACAAAAGGCCTAGTATGAATTAAAGGAGGAAAATGTTTGAATTTTGAGAGGTACTAAAGTAATTAGTTTCCTCCTTGTACTGAAAATATAATTTCAAGGGAGATTCTAGGCAGCAGGCTGTGAAACCAGCCGTAGAGACAGCTGACCCATTGCCCTAACCCAGTGACATGCCCAGCTGGTAGGGAGATGATGGCATCCCTCACAGAGGGGAGGCGGGGGGACGATGGCATCCCTCAAGGCAGGGCAGTAGGGGGACGATGGCATCCTTTGTGGAAGGGCAGCAGGGGAGGGCACTCGCTGCCTGGAGGGGTGGAATGCTGAAGTGTGCCTGTGCAAGTCCTGCACTAGGGTAAATCCATATGCAGCAGCTTGGTTGTGCAGTGGTTGAAAAAGTTTTTTTGTGTTAATAATGTCGCTTCCCCCCCCCGCTATGAAAAGATGTTTCCCTCATTCTCTTATGGTAAGAAAGGGAAATTGGAGCATCAGGCTGACCTTGGTTGTATCAGGCATAATGTTATGGGCCTTCTTCAATTTTTTTCTCACTTAATTCATCTCTCCAAATCAAATACTCCTAACCTTTAATTTCTTCATCCTCCAGTAGCTTCCTTCCACAGACAGTTTGACAAAACTTGCACTCTGGCCGTGGCTGCTGAGCTATCAGTGATTTCGTGTAACAGCATTCACCATAGTTTCAGTTTTCTCTGTCCTCTTTGCAGTGCACTCCATTTGCTGTATTTCCCATCTCAGCAGACAGAGTGTGGCATTTCATTGAGCCGTCCGCGGGGACGCTCACATCCATAACCCGAGTGGTCACGGTTCGTTTGAAATCCATCAATGTGCATGAGTAGTTCAATTTGTTTCTTCTAATGTTCATTATCTTGCACTTGTCTATGCTGAATTTCATTAGCCATCATCTTACCCAACTGTCTGGTTCTCCTAGGGCTGTCTGCACTGCAGGGTAGCCCTTCTCAGAGAAAGGTGCAGAGACGTTTGCTCTTCTAAGTGCTCTCCTGCTTGAGGAGCTTGCCGTGGTGCTGTGTCTCTTGAGTTGTTTCCCAGCCCATTTAGATAGCTTAACAAAAATGCTGTGTGATATTAGGGACCAGTCCATGGTCTCTTGCCGTCTAAAACTCCTAAAATGAGCCTTATAGCAAAGGGAGAAATGTGATCAAGCCTAGTATTAGAGGGTATCCAAACTATTGTACGCAGAAGGATCTCAAGATCTGGGGATTGTCCAGTGCTTTGGATGAGATGTGAATGTGCCAGAATATGCCTTTTCCAGCAGTTTTAGGGAGCTCCAGCATTCCTTCATACAAGGCTGGGAGCATTCTATGGCTTTTTCATGATTTGGTCTATCAAACAGCTACCATAAAAAATTTGTTAAGCTACTTTTATTGTATAAACAATCCTGATTGCTTTATAAGCCAATACTTTACAGTTTCTAGCTTGTTTCCAACAAAAATCTCACATCTAAGAGTTCAGCGTAGGCTAGAACTGTGCCTGTCCTTCTTCCCAGTGGCCCTAGTGGTCTTCAGGTGCTGGCATTTCACTGGCTCTCTGGTCTAGGTAAGCTAGAGGAAAATTAGGAGAGAAGAGGGATGGCCCAGGTGTTTTAGCTCTTGTGGGGAACTAGGGACAGTCACAAGCAGCTTCCAACTTTATCACAGACTTCTGTGAGACTGGGCAAAGCTGGGCAAGGCACAGCAGGAACCTGTTAAATTAGCTGCCTCTATGTTTTTATGTGATAGCGACTGCTGAAAGACTGAAACTCTTTTTCCTCGAAATACTGTTGTTTCAGCCACATTGGCTGGAGGCTGCTCTCAAACCTGCATTGCCTGGAAGGGTTTCCAAATGCCTGCATTCTCACATGTTCTGCGTAACAAGTGCTAAAGGGAATTTGGCTCTGCCTATGCAGCAGTTTTCATCCCAAGCTCAGTCGGTAAGGATTGCAAGGCCTGCAGTTTTCCTCGGAGAAGGCAATTATCACACCATATCTGTGAGGATTTCCTGCTTTCCTTTCCATGCTCTTGCCTGTCCTGCCTTCCCCTGTACCTGAGCCACTTCCAGATGTGTGGCAAACAACCTGCCATAGGGTACGTGCATCTGAACTTATTACCTGTGTCTGAACATGAGTTGCCTGCTCTCCCTGATGCTCTGATGCTTGTCTCTGCTGTAGGTGACAAGGACTCCTCAAGGAGAGAAGAACAGCCGGAGAGGTTTTGATGAAAAGGCTTACTTGTCCTCAAAGCTGCTGAAGGCCGGAGAAGACCCCTACCGCCAGCACGCTTTTAATCAGCTAGAGAGTGACAAACTCAGCAGCGACCGGCCCATTCGGGACACCAGGCACTACAGGTACTGTGCAGCCCTAGCTCCAAGCCATGGCTGCTGCTTGGTGTGGGGAGTCCACTGCCCTTCTTTGTTGTTCTGCAGTGTTGACAAAAGATGGTTTGGGTTTTTCTTTGCTGGCATCGGTCTGTTACTTCACTGTATTTCATAGTTAATCTGGAAAGGTCTCAAACATACAGAGACCCTTGACTAATTCAGCCCCAGCTTGTTGCTTTTCTAGCATCTCTTCTCCCAGCTCCAAGTATCATCTTGTTTCAACACAGCCCCTCCATTGCAGCTCAAATTGCTCATCTGACAGTTGTTTTTTGCACAGCTCCTCTCACACTCGCAGCTTCTCTCAGCGACCCTCTGTCCTGGCTGCAAGGTACGCCATTGTTGCAGCCTTGCTTTACTCTGGTGTTCCTCACCTGCTGTGCCCTGGCTCTCTGAAGCTGGTTTGGTGACTTCTCTCCAGCCTGCGCATTACGTTTTGGATGAAGGCTGCTGGGGTGGGGGTGAAACTAGCATGTGGATACAGTGAATATTTCATGGCTTGCAAAGTGCTCATTGTTCTGTCCTTGTTTCACTGTGAGTGAATTTGTTCCGCTGACTAAACTCATCTTTAAATTGCTAATAGTGCTCAGGTAACTACTTTGTAGTTTCTGGAGTATAAAAAGATAATGTTGTACCTTGAAAACTGTATGTTTGATAGTGATAGGATAGTGTAAACCAGCCTACTTTACTGGAGAAAAAAATAGAAGCAAACTTACCATGTCTGAAATGCTTGCTTCTCTGGGCTGGAACCTAGACCCTAACTAGGGTTGCAAAGCAACACTTCACAGCTGCTGGGAATGGAAAACCGGTCATCTAACTTGACTGAAACTGTGAAAGGGATGTCAGGAGACATGGAGCTTTGTGAGCGTGCCAGTACTGACAGCCATCAGGGTGCTTTGTGAATATGAGCAGTTGGGACTTTGGTTGTGAGATGAAAGTCTTGTGCTCCTGTTCCCCGGCACAGTACTTGGGATTGGCTTCCTAGTGACTCGGAGGCAGTAGTGCCATGTCCTGCATTACTGACAAGTCTCCCTGCCATGCAGAATTGCTGTTTTCTGTTAATCTGCTGTCATGTTCTGGCCTACAAATGGCTCACTTCAAAGGTGAATTATTGTTTATTTTGATCTGAGGTAGCAGGAAAAGCATGCTTTTTGTGAAAAGCCTCATCTGTGTACTTCAGTTGGAAGAACAACATATATGTGATTCCCTGGAAATGTATGGCCATTTCAGCCCCAGCTTTGCAAGGATTCCCTTCAGCAATGGGGAGTCCAAAGCAGTGTATAATCAGAGCAAACCTATTTCCATGTTACTTCCCTTTGCAGAGGTGGCAGTTTGGGACTGAGGGAGCTGGTTTTGAGAACCTTGTCTTGTAGCATTATTGGAATGGTTGCTGGGATGGCAACTTAGGATGAGGACTTACTTCAGCTGGTACAAGTTAGATGTGGTTTGAGGAAAGCCCATCCTCATATCACCAATGGACCTGTCTCTCTGTTTAAGGAATGGGGAGTTAATAGGTCACTAACATGTTACTTTTGCTTTAGGCACCCAAGCAGAACTTAGGCATACTCAACTCCACATCCTGCAAGCTCCTTCTGACCTAGCATGTAGTTGGTTTTTTGATCCAAAGCAAAGAGAGGGCTAACTTTAAAGGACAAACTTTGTCCTTGTCATCTGTGATGCTGTAATAATCCTGAGGTCTTGGGAAGACTTTCCCAAATAACACATACACCAATCTCTGCTCCTTTTGCACTTCCTGATGCCTTAATACATTTTATATGCATTACATCATGGAGTTATTTTGAAACAATAATAAATGTGGTATGTCTCCCGTCTGGTCTCAGGTTTTCCACTTTAGTCTTTATCAAGGTTTCTTTATATGGTTGAAAATTGCTGTAAGAAGCTGTGGTCCCCTTACTAAAATATTGCAATGGAAAAGTCATAAACCAGTAGGATTGCATGTGATGATAAAAACAGTAACAGTTTAGTAACAGCTATAAAAGAATAGTAAGTAAATGCAGAAGTACAGGTAGTGGCTGTGAGAACTGAATTGTATTCCCTCCGAGGATGGATTCAGTTGGCTGAACTCATGCATGGCCTTGAGTTGTTAAAAACACTAGGCCACAATTTCAGCTGTGGGCTCTTCATTGGGCAGGGAATCGGTGCAGACTGGAATCGGTTCGACACTGGCTGGAAGTTAAGAAGGTGGACACTCTGGAGGAGCAGATCAGTCCAAATCTGCCATTCCTAGTATCTGCCAGAATTGGATTGAGGATTCACATCTGAGAGTTGTTCTCCAAGAATCCGTGTTCTCCACAGGGTGTGAGCAGCCCTGGTGCAAGCTGATCCTGACTTAATCCTTGGTTCTAAGTATGAGAATGAATGTATGTACCTAACATACAAAGTCAGATGAGAAGATGGGAGGAATTGCTTTCCATTGCCAGCTGAGGTATTAGTATTGTACCTCAGCAACTCACTGATGCAGATCACAGCACTAGCTAGTGTTTTCCTTTCTGTAAAGTCCAGTGTCCAAAGAATTGGAAGTGCTTTATACAGCGATGCCTAGGTGTACCAGCTCCACACATCCTTAGCATATGCCTGTCCTATGCATGAATAAACAAGATTTTACATGAATCACAGTCGAATCCAGGGACTAGAGTCCATGACGTTGAACCTTTGTTCCCCAGGTGCCCTCCTCAGCATGTAGCATCATGAGTTTAGGTATCACAGCCTCAAAAACTTTGCCTTTCAACAGGCACAGTTCTTTTTAAGCTCTGCCAACCTTGGTGCAGGGACTGCTGAGGCCTCCCTTGCTGCAGCTCAGCTGTGCTGTTTCTGGTTTTAGCATATTATTCTCTTCTCCTTTAGAAATTCTAAGTGCGTTGCTGCACTGGCTGCTGCTGGGTGGTGTTTGGCTTACACTTCTGCTCCCCTGTGTTGCAGGTGCACTGCTGTACGCTATGACACAGACTTGCCACCTACCAGCCTCATCATCACCTTCCACAACGAGGCGCGCTCCACCCTGCTCCGCACAGTGAAGAGGTGAGTTCAGCAAGGGGTGCTGGGCCCAAACGATGGTGTCTGGAAGGGCACGGGTGGGGTGTTAGGCATTTTCCAGAGGTTAGGCAAGCAGGGTGGCTGCAGTTCCTCAAGTGCTTGTGATCTGCCCTTGAGCTGGCCCACTAAGACAGGTCAGGGGCTTGGATTGGCAGTGTGGGCATATCTTCAAAGATAGAACATATCTGCAGTTAGCTGCTTTATAGTCCCCATGGGGGGAATCATTAGCAGTGGAAAACAAGGCTGCTGGGCCTGTGCCCACAGGTGGGTACAGTCTGTATGAGCTTGGTTTGGAAGAGTGAGGAGGGACCAAAGGACACACTGTGGGCTGCTAGATGCACCTGAGCGAAGGGGCTTGGGAGGGACTGTGTTTCATAAATGGGAATAAGCCCCTTGTTAGAGCAGGTGTTACAGTAGGTGTTGCTGGCTCAGTGAGGGCAGGGGGCACAGCTCGCAAGTCTTTCAAGCAGAAGGTGATGAACTCAAAGTCTTGCGGAGACCAAGCCCTTGTGGTCTGAGCAGGTGCTCAGAGTCACTTGCTGGTAAACAGTTGCTGAACCTGATGGCCAACCAGATCCTTCCTGGAGCTTTGTGCACAGACCTGCGGAACCTGCAGGACACTTGCTATCTTGTACCAGTATCTCCTCATATGGATGATCGTATGATCATCAGTGGCCAAATCTAACCAAGTAAATAGGTGCCACAGGGCCTTGTCAGCATCCCCAAGTAGATGCAATTATCTATACCACAAAGCAGCGTTCCAGCTGCTCCTTCCCTTCCCCATCACCCCTGCAGAACCCAGAGAGGCTCTTTTCCTTTTAGTTTTTATGCAAAAAATGCCCTCTGCCCTCACTGACTTATCAAGTCATTTCTCAAAGGGTCTCTGAAGCCTGCAAGCAGGTCTAGGAACAGCCTTTGGAGGCTGAAGGAAGACTGAATTGTCCAGGTAGAAGATTGAGCTGATGGTATCACTAACAGGATTGCATTATTCATCATCACCACTTCTTCCCCTGTCAGATCATGTGGGCTTAGAGAAATGTGCTTTGTGAATAAATTACAGGCTTTTTCAAGTTGGCCTCATGGCTTGAAGGCTGGGTTTCTGTCTGCCAGGTTTGGTGCTACTGTGTTTCCAGAGACCTGTATATATTGCATTAACACATTTTGCCTTTTTACCTCTATCATTTCCTTACCATGTGAACCATAAAATGAGTTCTACAGAGCCACTATTCAGAAAATGAGCAGATTTGTTTGGAACCACGGTGCTGCTAGGGCAACAGGAGCAGATTTCTGCCAATTACATCATTGGTCAGACAATAAATGGCTAGGTGCTCAGAAACCATGGTAGTAGGATCTTTAAGAAAATCTCAAGGCAGCCAATCAAACAGCCAGATGTCGTGATAGTTAAAATGAAGAGAAGATGACATTCAGAGCAGCAGTAACACACAGAGAGAGAAAGTGATATCCAGATCCTATGGAGGTGATGTGTACTAATGAGTGTTGCTGGTGCATTAACAGGCTAGGCTTGCTCAAAGCAAGGTCAACTAAAGTAGGTTGCTTGGGGCTGTGCGTGGCCAGTTTTTAGTACCTCCAAGAATGGAGACTCTGCAACCTCTCTGAGCATTCTCTTCCCAAGGCTAAACAACCCCACCTCTTGCAACCTCATCTCTTACGTCTGACACTCCAGTCCCTTAATTATCTTAGTGATCCTCCACTGGACCTGCTTCAGCATGTCCCTCTTTTTCTTGTCCTGGGAAGCCCAGAGCTGGACACAGCACTCAAGATGTGGTATTATCAGTCTCTCAGATGTGGTCTCCTGCAACCCAGAGCCCCCAGCAAGGACACTGAAAAATGGATGACCCATCTGTTCAAACTGGCCCCTGCAATCCTGCTGCCACTGAAGGATTGCTGCTGTGAGGGACTGGCTGCACTCTCCTGGGGTGGATGACATTTCCTCCCAGACTTCTGGCTCAGCTGTAGCTGAGTCTTCCATTGACAGATGGTTTACAGCCAGTGCGTGCGATTGATTTACTCCTTGCTCACATCAAATGTCAGAAGTATCCCTGATTTATCCCTGTCTGATGAGGGATCCCGAAGGCTGCGTTCTTCTTGGGCTCTACAGTATTTTCAGTGTCACACAACCAAGCATTGGCTAGTAGCCTTGTCTTTGAGGCACGGGAGGTTTGATAACCTCCCGTTACTAACAGAGGTGAAGGCTCAGGTCATGGCTGTGCTGTTAGAAGAGGCATGGGGCTGAGTCCCACTTTCAGGTTGACACTGATGTTACAGAGGGAGTTGAAGATTTCAGGGTGCTGCTCTTGTAACCTGAGAGTCCTGTCGTTCAGCAAAAAGCATCTGAATGTGCCAGGCTGAGTTACTGCTGTGAGTATAATTGTCACTCGGTTTGCATACACAGTCGGTGCACCAAATACTGTGTAATTACTTTGCAGCACTTTTTGGGATGTCAAGTACCAAAGGGACAGGACTGTTCTGTTCTGTTTGGTTTATGACCTAGCTGTGAGTCCTCAGAGGACCACAGTGATATTAAGCAACAGGAGGCATAAAATTGCACTGCCTGCTTAGTTGCTGTCTAGTCAGCCTTGTAGCCTGTCATTACTTCTATATCCATAAGAGCTTTCTTAAGCCAGGTAGAGCAGGATTATTTAGATAATTAGAATTAACCATTTGAAATGCACCTGGCGAAAGTTAAATATGATTACACTGTTATTATGGGCCTTTTCCCAAGTTTAGTTATAATAATTACACTATGGGGATGCTGTAAGAAAGGTGGGGATGGAAGATGACAGCTGATAGAAATGAGCAGCACTAAGAGCAAAATTTTCTATGGCTGAAAACTTTTTACAGGCCCGATCTTTAGAGGTGAGTAGAATAGTTACTAACAGTTGAAGTTTTCATACCTGAGGTCTTTGCAAGCATAACTGGTGAGTGCCTGAATTTGAGCCTCAAAAATCGGCTGTAAAACTTTGGCAAATTCTAGGAAGAAATATATGAAAAGGGTACTGGGATTGAACTAATCTTAAATTAAAACTAGAGTGAGCCTAAATGCGCTCCCCTGAGCCAGATACCGTCTTCCTGTGTTATTCTGACAGCTCTGCAAGGTAACTCAGCTGAGTGGTAACGCTGTTGCCAAAAGGTCTTGGGAAGTGACCCAGGGATGAGACTCCTGCATTACGGTTTATTTCAGAGTGATCTAAACATGGCAGCTGTAGGGGATGGATCCTGATCTGCAGACCCTTCTTGCTAACCACACCTACGTGTGTGCACATGTGGACTTGCACAAGCACCTCTGGCAGCTCAGCAGCTGCTGAGCTCTCCCTGCTGCCCCTGGGATCTCTGCTGCTGAGTGGAAGCAACGGGAGTGATGTGCTCATGCTGCCACTTGAGGATTGGATAAATGTTTGTGTATGAGGGAGAGGGGGAAATGGAGTGACTGTGGGGAGGAATAACTTCTTCTTCCCAGCACCCTATCACTTGTCCCTCCTTGTCCCCAGAAGCAGCATGGGCTGCATGCCTGCCTGCTGCTGTGGGCTCCAGCTATTTTCCTCCTCTGCCCTAGGTAAAGGCAACAGGCAGCTGGACCTGCTGCCCAGCCTGCAAGCTGCCAGAGGGACCAGGCCAGCACACCAATAGGCCATGCTGCCCCAAATCCTACTGGTCCCATGCAGGGAGTCTTTCAGATAAATTTGGTTAGTTTGTTTTCAGTGTAGAGGGAGACAGCTGGTTAAAAATATCCAGCAAGAGACTAAGAAGGGAAGTAGGAAAAAAAAAGAGGGAAATGGGCTATCCACCAGAACCTGTGAACATGCCAGTTCAAATGGCTCATTGCTGGCATCCTCAGTCCTGCAGGAGATGTGTGTCAGTCAAGAACTGCTTGCCTGCGTGATATCTCTTCCTCGGCAGGACATAGCTGTCACTCTCAAACCAGCTACTGCTTGGCATCCTGTTGTCCTTCAGAAATAACTGTCACTCAGAGGGCATTTTCGTGATTGGTGTCTGTGCCTGATTAGTCATTAAGCGATACCATCAGTTCTGCTGCGGTGACCGTTCTTGCAGAAGGGAAAATCAACTGCTTTGTTTTCTGGTCCTTTCCTTTCTCTTTATTTCTGTTTTCAGTTAGTATTGCAGTATTGTTTAGCTTTGGTGCAAATGTAAAGGTGAATAGTCAGGCTTTAAGTCAATGAACTTGAACAGCTGTCTGGTTCGGTGCATATGCAGAGAGCTTGTATAAATTCTGATTAAAAGGATGCTGTTGTAATGCTAGAGCATTTGGTATAGCAACTCATTACAATGACAATTTAAATAATGGCAAAAAAGGAGATTATTTTAGAGAAGAAAAAAGAGACGTTCCTCTGCTAGCATCTGGAATAAACAATATTATCTGTGAGCTGATGAGGGATGGACAGATCTGCAGAGGAGAGAAACTCATTGGCAATGCTGATGTGGTGTCATGCGACAGAGTGACAGAGTAAGGACACTGATACTGAAAGAAGGAAGCTGTGAGAAAATACAAAGGACATAAGGAATCCATGAGATGAGGGTAGAACAGTCTGTGTTTCAAGCTGTAAAAGGCAATTGTCATTTGGATTTTGGCATCCTAATAATACATTTTGTGCTTAAAAGTAATCGATTGTCATGCCAGTCTCTGCACCTCATTGGAAGGAAATACTAGAATTACTGTGTTCCTTGTTAAAAAGACAGACAAGACAAAGTACAAAGAAGATCAAGTACCTTGCCCAAGGTTCCACAGCAAATTATTGCAGAGCTGAGAGCAGAACTGGGCATTGAACAATGAGCTGTGAACTCCTTGAGGAGTGTTTTCTCTCTACTGGGGAATCAGCGGAGAGGTGAGGAAGAGAGGAAGAAGTGTTTGCTTTTTTTCTCAGTTACGTTGAGTTGGAAGGCCTGAAACTTGTGGAGAAAATGTGAGCATTGCTGATAGTCAAGCTAGTGGGAGAAGGTGTAGAATACCATTTTACAGCCATTATACTGCAGGATGCAGCCTGTCTAGATTGGTTGTTTTGCATTGAGTTTGCACAGACAAGAATTTCAGTGCAGGGCAACCTTGTCTGTAAAATATGCAGATGATGGCTACGCTGGGAAAAGCTGCACTTAAAAATGCAAAGAGGAACATCCCCCACCTCCCACCCCAATGTACTAGAGTATCCAGAGAGGTATGAGCCAAGAGAAGCAAATGAGATTCAGCTTTGAAAATTGCAAGCTCAGTCATCTAGGGACATATAAGCTCAAAATACAAATACTCGCAGAGACATATGAAGCAGCATAAATATGAAATAGAGTGGGATGTGATACTGAGCAGCAGAGCATTCAGGATTTTGCTGTGTGAGACAGCGGAAAACTCTCCCAAACTGAGGAAACTTTGGGTCTGTATGCAAAACTATCAGTGACGCTACTTAGCAAGATGGCAATTTATTTCTCTACAGCTCCATTCCTGGGAGTATGGGATTACTCTTGTTGTCTGTTTCCTGTATAACACCCACCCACCCCACCCCACCCCCCAAAAAAAAGCCAACAATCTTTCTGCAGAATTGCTCCAGATCAGAAGAGTGGGTGCCACTGAAATGAGGCAGGTTGCTAGAACCAAGAGGACAGAGTTTACCTCTGTTTTCTAATATTAAAGTTTGCATAGCTGTCATCATCACTGGGGTGACTAAATGCGACTGAGCAATCTTGTTGGAGGCAATGAGGACCTGCCTGTGCATAGAGGCATTGGAGAACGAGGCTCAAAAGGGGGAATATGCTGTGTGGTTGTAGTAGACCCAGGGGAGGGACTTGAAGAAAGTCATGGAAAATTAGTTCAAGTGTATTAAACAAACGAGAAGGACAAAGAGGTCAGAATCAGACTGCTCTGACTCCAGGGTACCAGAGCACATCAACCTCTGAGGAGGGCAGAAGCTTTTATCCCCCCTCTTTGTGTGTGAAAGCCCCTGTGTCCGGCAGATGCAAACCCACTGCAGTGCTGAGGGTATTATGGGGTATGGCGCAGCCAACCTGAGGAAAGGGGGGTGCTCTCAGCAAGTGTGGGGGCTGGTTTGAAAGAAAGACATGTAACAAGCAAAAGAGGAAAAAAAAAAACCCAAATCCAGAATATTGCCAAGGAAAATTGCCTTCTTCCCAAAGAAGGGAATTTGTGAGAAAGCCCCAGCAGACCTCACCTGTGCCATTGAGACAGAGCTCCTTGCTGGGGAAAGTGGCAGCTCTTTCTGCTCCCCAGCAGTGATGAGCTTTGCCCAGAGCCTGGCAGATGGGAATGGCCGCCTCCTGGCTGCCTCAGGCCAGGTGGTGCTCTCCTCTTCACCTTTCTGTTTAGAGGCAGAGAGCGTGCCACAGCATCCTTTGCTAGCTGCCCCCAGGCAAGTCCTGCAGTCAGCTTCCTGGCTGTGGGTCCTTGTAAGGTCCAGCTGAGCTGCCATAGCTCTCCGGGATATTCCTGCTTGCAAGTTGGCTCCTGCCAATGAACCCTGGAACAAGGGCAAAGTTACCTCTTCTGCATTACTGCAGTTTG